AGACGGAGAAGACAAAACATATACCTTTACCTGGCGTAAGGAGAGTCAGGTGGGAAGTGTGCAGAGAGAGGGAGATGAGCAGCTCACGGGGATCAGCGGGACGTTCGGTGTCACACCGAAAAGCTGTTGGGGCAGGGTGGACAACGGCCTGACGTTGTCGTGGTAGCGCTCGAAAAATCTTCTCGACGAAACGGAGTTTGTCGTTGAGCTGGCTGAAATAACTAGGGGCGGATCAGCACGTCGGCTCGAGGGAAAATCAGGAGGAGAGCGCCCGAACACTACGCCCGACCACGGAATCCGCCAGCGAGGTACATATTGTCGGAATAAAACCTGCGTTGCTCGCCAAAATCCTTCTTCGACAGCAAACTCCCCCGCGGATTGCGACAGGGTCCGAGCTCCGGAACCAACCTCGCATTTGCATCGCGCAGGAACTGATTGTCCGCGATTGCCTCTGGGCCAGTATACGCCTGTAGTCAATAACGAGCCTCAGCGGAGCAAGGAAGGAGTCGGGGAGGGCAGCGCACAGTGAACACGGAGGGAATGTCGTTTGCGACGAGGAACGCGATGGTCTTCTTCCACGCGGCCGCATACTGCGGCTCAGTCGCTCCCGAGTTGAACGCGATGGCGATGTCGGGGATCCGGTACGCGGTCCCGATTTTCGCGGGCAGATCATGGTAGTGGCTGCGGCAGCCGCAGGACGGTGTAAGAAACAACCGGGCGAGATGAACAACGGGACTTACACATCGTAATATTCGTTACCCCGCATCCTCTCCTGACGTGTGCAGTCCCTTGCGGGGCCAGGAGGTCAGCTTGCGGGCGTGGCGCGGGGGGGATTTGGACGTACGGGCAGCACGTAATCTGATACGGTCCTCCACGCATATCGTCTCCCAGGTGCGGTGCAAGCATCACACCACAGATAACCACCTGGGCGACCGCGATGATGAGGATACTACAGCGAGCGAGAGCGGCTACGTACATGCACCAGTTCCACGTCCGGCAATTGATGGAGGATATTCTCAAAGCAAATGGCGTGCCACAGTTCCTTCGATTGAGCGCCAATTATCTGCACCGGCGAAATGAAGTTCGTTCGGGCAAGGCGAGGGAGGAAAACACACGTGAATCGAGGGCAGTTTCTTTTTCGTCCAGTTCAGGTTATTGTTCAGACATTCCAACGCGTAGAGGGCGGTCATCGGCATCGACAGGATATCCGACATCTTGCGAATGGAAATCGCCGGCGCGGCTTCAGGAAACTCCAGCCTCAACTGCGGCTCGAATTCGGCGGCCCAGGTCACAGTCTTCAGCGAAGTCCAAGCACGTTTATGCGGCGGAGGGATCCAGCGAAAGGTATGCATCGGCACGGAGTATTGAGGATGCAATTCGGGGCGGCGGAGCATCTTCGCGTCAAACTCGTCATCCTCGAGGAGCTCTTGGTTGAGGACGCAGTGGGGAAGGCCGTCGTATCCGCCTTCGCACATCATCTGCGTGTGTTCGACGTGCGACTCGCTCCAGTGGTCGTGGCAGGCGAAGGATAGACGGCAGTCGGCACAGGGTATAAGTGCATGGGGCGCGACAGATGGATCGAGGGCACATTCAGTGCGAATGAGTTGATCGGTACGTCCGCTGGCGCAGGCTGATTAATTTTCGTGCGGTTTTGCACGAGCGCCATTGAAGGAGCCCGGATCAAAAGAGTACTCACCAAGCGAGACATCTGGGCTCAAAATGCAGAAGAATATTCTCCGATGGGGACAACGCGCGGCCAAGCTGGAGGGTGAAGTATCCGAATCGTTCCTTGATCTGCGTTTCGAGTTCGTCTGGGTTCTTTCTGCCGATCCAGCGCATCATCAAGAGCATCATCGCAGGGCTTTCGAGAGAGGCAAGAACACGACAGAATTGTTTATGAGACGGCCAGCTCGCATTTTGGCAGGCTGAGAGGCCACAGTTGTTCATCTCAGGAGAGGGGAAGAGAGAAAGGAACGTGCATGCGTTGCAATACGACACCAAACGACATCCGGAGCACTTTTGCAGCTTGAGGGATTGCGAGGCCTTTGCGTAGCAGTGGTAGCATGCAGCACCGACGGCGGCGAGAGCGGGTAGCGTGGGACGGCGCGAATCGCTCCGGGTGGTCGACATCCAAGAAACGTGAAGGGAGAGGGAGATCAAGAAGGATTAAGTGCTTGACGCTGTTTGGCACAGGCTTCCATCAGTCAGGGTTAGGGTTCGAATCGAACCAAAATCGAACTGAATAAAGAAAAAGTATCTCTACTTTGAAGTTTGCTTGCAGCCAGCAGAACGGTGTATATTCGGCGGGGGACGGGGCATGTTTATGATGAGGCTTATGAGGAGTCGGGGGCCGAGCACATTCGATATCCGATGCAAGTCTGAAGTTTGAACCAGTATGAGGGGAAAAATACACAGCAAGATTCTAGATTGTTGGGGCAGACTCGGATATTTACTCGCGGATTCGAACAACAAAGGTACGCACCGCCAAGGGGGCCGTCGCTTTAAAAGTTCAAGTGATTCGCCTCGCGCCAGGCACTGACCCCGATCCGAACGGGGAGCCGCAGACATGAAGGGTGGGCACTCGTACCAGTCCTTCCAGTGCTTAATATGCATTGTAAATTTTAGACTGAGACCCGCCCGGAGACCATAGAATCGAGGTAGAACAAGCCAAACGAGAAGGAATCAGGACGAGGATGAATCCAGATCGGAGAGCGTAAGCCAGGAAATGCACTAACTGCGGTGGATTTAGTGCCAGCGAAAATGTCCAGGACGGGATCAGCTGCATCGTGCATCGGCTGGGGCATGAGAGGAGTTATTGACGAAGAGTGGCAAGTTACCAGCGACGACACATCGTGATAAGGAGGAGACGCTAGTTTGAGACGGGCGTGGTCGAGTCATGCTCCGCAGAGTTCAGCCACTCAATTCGGGGTGCCTCCGCCCAATCCTGGACCCACTACGAGACACCACTTGTACCGTCCACACCCACGTCAAAGGGCGCAAATTCCCCACCCGACCGACCCTTCCTCATCATCATTGGCCCGCAGAGAATAAAAAAGAAAGTGCCGAAGCCCCAATGCCCCCGAATCAACCCCGATTCAAAGAAGGAGGTTCCGCCGGGAAGGTGAGATCGTTGGTACAGGCGAAAAGCCCGGTATATATGTTCGGGTTGAGCACGACTCCAGTGAACTGGACATCGGAAGGAAATGTCTTGAAATAAGCACGCGGGCGGGAATGGGGTGGTCACTGGATGCAAATGACGTGTAAAAGCGTTTAGGCCGCTAGCATGCACTGACCTCGACTCGAACGAGGACCTTCTACACATGCAGTTCTAGTCTTGACTGAAGAAAACCGTTTCGCATTCAGTGCGTGGCTGAATGCAGGGAGGTCCAGAAACATTCCTGTCCATACAGGTATACCGACGGGTTGGGATGGATGAGAGGAAATAGTAATCAGTGCGCGCCCGGTACTCAACAGTTATTCGGTGCTAGACGTGAACGTTCCGCGATTTGGTGGACACTTTGAGCGGTAAATGGCGTGAGAGAACAGAGTAAGGTCGAATGCCAGAGTACAATGCAACGAGGCACGAGTGCCCGTGTTGTAGCGTCTGTCTAGGAGAGACGAATGCCAGAGGGGACTGAAGTGGCTCTCCCTATGTCCACCCTGCCTTCCATGATGTGAATTTACGGCTCCCGTCCGTGTCCTCCAACGTCGCCCCTCCGTTCTTGAACGTCCGGACCACCCCTGTACGCCTTCCTGTACATGTAATTCACTGCTCTACTTCCCTTAGACTCTTCAAATCTTTCTGGATTACGCTGCGCCATCACACTGGTCACGATTGAACGCCATAGTACGTCCTCGTGGCCCGCCTCTTCCCCGCGCTTCAAATTCGCCATATCTGCTTGCCGCCAGTGTGCGCAGTCCAAGCCCCACCGCCCCCGCCATACCGCACCTCAAACTTGCTCCGGTATTTTGGTCCATCTCCTGAACTAGGAAGCTCCGACTTCGTCGGAAGAGACCTTGCTTGCAAAAAGATGCAGCTGAGAAATGAGTGCTTTGCCCGCTGCGCCGCGAGGATCCCGTGTAATTCGAGACTTGAGCGGTGTACGTTGAATTTAGGTAAGTCGATGTCGGGATACTTCGGAGCACGCGGTGATCCCCGGGTTGGCGAAAAGTGGTGACCGTGGAGAGACCTTGACAAGCAAGGTAATATTTGCCGCCTTTATCCCTTCCGTGCCGCATTCCTTCGCTGCCGTTCGACTCACCTTGCCCGCGCGCTGCCAACCCACTGCCACCACGTGAAGTCTTGCCGTCCGGTCAGTATTCGCCAGCTTCGATCGTGCGTCGTCGTCTCCTTCGAGTTTTATTCCTGCTATCCAATTTTTTCCACTTATCCTTCCTCAGCGGCAATTAGTTTCGTTCGGCGCACTGATCGGGGTGCGCCCATTGCTGCCCGGTGAGTCCAGAGTTAGGTTTCAGTCAAATTCGATTTAAAACTGATCGTACCAACTACCAGGTTTCTCCCGCCGCGCGCCGGCGTAAAGTTGAACCCGGGTAAGTGTTGTAATTCACACTCCCTCGTCGAGCGTGTGTTGCTGCGACTCCCCTTGCGCGGTGTATGGCATCAGAGCCAAGTCTCGCGTCTATAGTTCAGGAGGTAAGTCTATGCGCGTGTTCTCACCAGGATTGCAGTTTCGGTGTCCGATGTTGTGCGGACCATATTATTACGCAACTCATCCCTGCATAGTACGTACCTCACTGGACCTATACAACACGTCTCCCATCAACTCCAGGTTGAACGGCGACCCGACGCCGATTCCGAGCCCGCACTTCACCTTAGACAGGAGTACGTCTAAAATTTCGTCCCTGTGGCCCCGTATTCCTCCCTCGTTCGGCACGAGAAGCCCCAACTCGGCCTCAAGTCGCGCTCAAGTGAGTTTTTCTAAGCCGTCGAGGTAAAATGGTACGAAACAGAACCCATCGGAGGCTACTGGGAGGTCCCAAGGCCGCACCCGGAATCGAACCGGGGTTACCAGAATAGAGGGGGTGTTCAGAATCTGAAGTGCTAACCATTACACCATGCAGCCGATTCGCAGGGGGGCTCGTGTTGCAACAGGAATTTTGTGTCTTCGGCACTCGGCATCTTCCGCTACATAAGTTCGTTGAGTAGCACGCTGCACCAGAATGCAGTTTCTCGCCACCAATATTAGTGCGTACCCCTCATTTTTGCAGCGCCGACCCGCGAATTGGTGTGCGGTGCGCACAAAACTTATTCCCGAATTCTCCGGAAACACCAAACTTGTGAATTGAACTACGCCTTCAACCGATCCTCGGTTCTCGGATATTCAGGCTCAGGATCAAGTTGAAGTTCGTGTCGGCTCGATAGCGCTGGGACCGGTTGACCCCGGTTTGCCTCTGCGCAAACCTTTACTCGTTCAACTCGGGTCAAGCCACTGATGCTTCAGCCATGTGCACTCTGAGTCGTACTTGAGGGTTTTTGAGGAGGGCCGAGGAGCGCACGAAGCTGAAGACAGTTCTGTGAGCAAAATCATCCGGCAATTAAAATATGGCTCTCCAACAAGGTATTGCTCGACCCCGAGTCGAACGGGTGGTCCTGCCTAGTCCATACTATCCATTTGACCCAAAGGATGCACATGCGGTCCCACCGCTATCGAGCAGATGTGAAGTGACGGCGAGTAGTGATGTTTTGGCTTGGCTTGGCTTTGAAACCCTGGCTTTGGCTTGGCTTTGTCCGGCTTTGGCTTCGTATTCCTCAAGCCAAAGCCAAAGCCACCAGAGCTGGCTTGGCTTGGCCTGGCTTTGGCTTAAGCCGGGGCTTTCGGCTAGGTTTATTCCCACGGTTCAGAATATTCTGAAGGTGTTTAGAACTACTTTTTCAAGCCGCATAGCACACCGGGAAAGATTGGATGATGCCTAAATCCATATGCGGCTTGAATGAAGCAGTTGGAGAGGTAAACAGCTCAAGGTAAATTTTATTACATGCTTGGCTAGTCGAAACACTACTGAATCTGAACCTGGTTGATGGGTTGATATATGGTGGGGAGAGTTGGAAGTACGGAAATGGACTTGCAGTCGGGATTTCGACCAAAAAATCATGTCTCAACAGGTCCCCACTCACCGGTGCAAAGCCACGGCTTAAGCCCCGGCTTTTGGCTTCGCCACCCCGAAGCCAAAGCCAAAGCCATCTGCAAGCCAAAATTTTGGCTTGGCTTGGCTTGATCAAGCTGGGGCTTTGGCTTCTTGACTTTTGGCTTGAAGCCAAGCCACGAGCATCACTAACGGCGAGAAGACGCCTCCATCGACTCTTGTTCATGTGGTTCACCTTTTTCTGCGTCCGAGTCAGTGTCAAATCGGTGTGTACATGTTATATGGAAGACGGGAGAGATCGACGTTGTTATTGAGGCGCATTGCCGTAGATACCTCGCTTTAAATGGGTGAAGGCTGCAGCCGATATAAAAAAATCGATCAACTGTTGGAATTGGGTTCAACTGTGGCCTATATTGGGGTATTTATGGGCCAACAAATTTCCCCTCGCAGGCCAAGATCAGTGTGTCTCAGGACCAGTCCCGGTTACCGTGAGACAGCCCTGCAACCCTTCAAATAAAGTAAATATTAAAGGGTAAGCCGTTCGACTCGGAGTTGGGGCATTCGTGAGCGTAAACCAGGTTTTTTCAATTTCCTCTCGTTATCCCGGCACCGCAAGGCGGACTTCGAACAGAGTACGAATGGGCTCGATAGCGGCGGGGACCGCACCTGACGGTGTTTCAAATTTGTTGCGCAGATTGCAACCAGAGTTCCCGGTTCGACTCCGGGTCGAGTCGTAGGCACCGTGTCTTCGATCTTTTGTCTCTCGCTTGGTCCTTAAGCCTGAGCCAGTGTGGTTGAACGAGTGAGCGGTGGGTGCGTCGGCCGAGATGTCGAGATTGTCGAACAAGCCCAGGAATACGATGACCGAGTTGGCCGAAATTGCGCAGGGATCAGCGCGAGGTAGTCGACGAAATAGCGAGTGAATGTAGCTAGAGGGAGCAATACATCAGCGTGTGCTCAATGGCAGTGGAGCCGTACCTGCGCCCTGCGGGTCGTAAATATTAATCGCACCTACACCGCGCAGGGCCCGTTCGATTCGGGCGTCGGGGCCGTATTGTTCGTCAGAGTGGCCAGGCTAGCGTATGGTGCGGATGTGAGAATCCCTCGTTTGGGTGCGGACTGTGCTCCAGGGTGAACTCGGCTGAGTCTCACTGTGCTATTCTTTGGATGAGGATGGAGAGGTCGAGATCGGGACGGAAAGCGTTGTCCTGGGAACAATTGCACCGACCCACAAGGTCGAGGACGGGGGTGCGTGAGACAAATCTTTACTTACAAGAGGCAACTGAACGAGCGCACCGCGATTCAGATGACTACCCTCACGCAACATCGCAGGAACGAGCGGCGACGCTGGTCAGCGCGGGACGGGATGATAACGCTCACGGTGAACGGCGCAGAAGGGCGTCTGGCAACAGGAAGCGAAACGCACCGCGACTTAGATTACATTCGGCCTCGAGTTTCAACGAATAAAAGCAACCAAAAAGGTTGGCATCATGTTTCATTAGGACCTCCCCCGAATCGAACGGGTGTCGGATGCGATTTCGATACATGCGCACCGCGTTAGAGGTCTTGTCTGGGGGGTGGGAAGGACGGTATGCATGTCGAAGCGTCAGTTGAATGAATTATTCCGTTCCAAATGCGTACCGTACGGGAAGCCGAGGAAGAGCAGTCGGCGCCGGGGGAGGATGGTGAGGGTGTGTGCGTGGCACTCGAGATCGGAGGACAAGTGTTGGAGACACGTACAAATTTTATTGGATTCGGTTCCAGAGAAATCCACGTGCATGGCAGAACCCGGGGGGTGAGCGTGAAGAGCACAAGAACGCGCAGATGGAGCGTCGCGGTTTGAGATGCAGTCAGGCCATCTTCGGTAAAAATGTACCACCGTCGTAGATGTTTCCGCCGGGGCAATAAAGCGCCATCGTCGCGCTGCGAGGAAAACTCAGTGATATGGGGCCAGGGGCAAATGCAGGAGAGAGAGGGGATAATCAGGAGGAGCACAGGAACTAGAGTGGAGAAAGGAAGCGTCAGCGTATATCGACGGCGAGAACGCCGGGGGATCCGGACAGGATTCGTAGTTGACTGCATCGTCGTAGATCGTAGTGCAATACTTGTGGTAACCAGGCAGGATAGTAGCAGAGGTTTGAGTGGGGTAGAGTGACGGATTCTATAGGGAAGCAAATACTGGAGACCGGAAGAGAGAACACAATAACGCACCAAAGAATACAGACGCGTCTACCGGGATCCCCCATCGATTATTTTCCTCCGACGCAGTGGTTTAGGTGGGCGAGCGGATGAATCGACAGGCTGGATCCAAGGCGGTAATGTGACGAGAGTCGTACTGTGGGCACGTTCGTTACCAGTTCGGCGTTGCGAGTAGACGTAGAGCGGTCGGACGCCGCAGCGTGCTGGGTTTCTACTTGGTTTCCACTAAAAACTTGCAGGCTTCGATTGGAGCGCAAGGACGAAGGGGAGCAGTGGGATGCAAGTGAGCCGCAGGCGGGGCACGGCACGCGTAGGAGTAAACCGTCTTGGGTGGCACGACTGGGCGGCGGCACCGGCACAAGATGAGGGAAAATGACGTGGGAGACGAGACATCGTCGTCGTCGAGGCGGTAACGCAGAGGGCTTGGCCCTAGTCGGCGAACAAATCGGGAACCACGCTAACGAGGGAGGCAGAGCTCGAGAGAGCGCTCATCGAGTGTCGTGGAGGTAGGAAGCAAAAGGGATTGATCCGAAGGCGGTGTTTGTTTTCGGATCAATCCCTCTTGCTTCCCACCACCATGCCACCGCCGTGTTCACGCAAAATCCACCCCAGGTCTCCCTCTATGGCTTCAGCGAACATCTGAAGGATGATTCCCTGTGGTCCGCGACCCCCTTCTTCTGTCCTAGGCTTCAACAATCCTCCTGCTTTCCGGATCGACGAATCTGCGGCGCGCCGCGCGACGAGTCTTTCCCCCGCCCACGTACATGACTCACAGTAAATGCACTTGTAAAACGCTCTCGGCGTAGCGTTGTCTTTGCCCACGCTGTCTTGCGTCGAATCTCTCCGCAAGCCTACTCCGCCTACACGCTGCTTGAGTCCTTGCCGGAGTCATGGGACTCCTTCGTTTCGGCCATCGCTGACGACGTCGCTAAGGACTCCACCAAACTTATATCCCGAATTCTCGCCGAGGACGCCCGCCGTCGCGCCCGCACTCCTGCTGATCCCACCACCGCGCTGCCAGCCGTCGACATGTCCAAGGTGAAGTGTTTCAAATGCGGTCGCTTCGGACATTACGCTAGCAAACACGATCAGCAGCAGCAGAATAATTCCCGCGACAATTCTCGCGACGACGCGTCAAACTCCAACCGCGCCCCTTCCAAATTCCACCGCCGAGGCCGCCAGGGCAAAGGCAAATCCCGCGCCCACGTCGCCGTCGATAATTCATCCGACGACGAAGATTTTGGTTTTCTAGCGCGCGAGCCCGCCGCCTCGCATGGACTTCAGCCAGATGATTGGCTTTTGGACTCTGGCTGTAGTAGGTCCATAGTCCGCAATAAATCTGATTTCACCCAGTATACCGAGACCCCCGGCCACAAAATCGTCGGAATTGGTGATAGCGCCGGCCTCGGCCGCGGCACCGTTCCACTTTCCTTCGCAGTTGGGCTCAAATCCCGCGCATGTGTGATGCGCGATGTCTTACACTGCCCCACTGCACCTTGCAATCTGATCTCTGTTGCCCGCCTCACTGACGCAGGTTACCGCGCCGTGTTCACTGGGGATATCGTCGAAATCCGTTCGACACGCAACGGCACCCTACTCGCTGTTGGCGACAAAGTCTCGCGGCTTTACAAACTCCGCATCGCATCAACCACCCCCTCCTCTTGCCCCCCTACCTACGCCTTCCCCGCGCGCTCCTGGGACGAATGGCACCGCGCACTCGGCCACCTCAATTATCCCGACATCCGCAAACTTCATGCCAAGAATATGGTTAAAGGCATGA